CTTTATCAATAATTCACAATCTTTCCTTTTAACTTTTGCATTATTTTTTATCAATGAAAAATGACTGATAATGATAGTTCTTTTTTATGTAGGTATGAGTTGTATGTGTTTGTTATTTTTCGTTTGGTATTGGTACAGTTGATTCATTAAGTATTTATATATGATATTAATCATTTTACAATTATAGATTTAAGTATAAAAATAGATAATGACGTGCGTAATGTGACAAGTTTATAATGAAACAAAAAACTATGAATTTGTTGAGATAAAAAAATTAACTGTTATTTTATAAAATATTGAATAATAAAAATGAATGTGATCAATGTGTAGACATTTCTAATAAAATGAAAATAAATCGCGAATCGATGAATATAAGAATAATCTTTTTTTTTCTTTTCTCCAATTTTTATCTTTGTTCTCCTCTCCCCGTCTTTCTTTATTTTTTTCTCATTCTTTTTAGCATACATAATTTTTCTACGTAAACTAACAATAAAGTACAAATAGTACTGCTAGGAAATTATGAAACATGTGTTATCTTTGAAAACGAAAGGAGTACGTACATTGGTCTGTCTTGAAGTCTTTCGGGCTGTATATGAATCAGAGAAAAGAAAGAAAAGAACCCGAAGAGGAAAAGACGTGGGTGGAATAGAAAGAGAAAGAGAAAGAGAGTGGAGCAGCAGGGTATATGCAATCGATAATATCCACGGACAAAAATACTCTTCGGCAGCTTATAGACTTTCAGGGTTCACAGGCGCACTCTCTCTGCCATCGCATTGAAAATGTCCCTAGAAATTTAAATTCTCAAATTTAATTTTACTATTTTATCATATAAATGTTCATACCAGGTAATTATGACAGTAAACTGAATCAAAACGTTGAAAGAAATTTAATTTCACGATTGATGAGTTTTATTTTATAAGAATCCTTGGGAAAAAAAATGAATATGATAAAATTTTGTTTCATTGCATTTGTTAACCTATACTTAGAAATAATATCATTTTTTTTTTTTATTAATTTTTATCTTTACTATAATTGATCAGTTTCGTACGTCAAAATCATTTATTAGAACTTTCTATTTTTATCTAATCGATCTTAATTTTTAGATACTTGGAAACATATAATGGTGGGGAAAAACCATAAATTTCTGTCTGACTTTATGAAACAATTACTCATTTTCAAAAGAAGAACTTTTTAGGTTTTTAATTAAGCATGTATTTTCACAAGCTTGTAACTTATTTTTCTTCCCCAAATTAACTCGAAATGTCTAGGAAAAGATGAATATATAAATTGATTTTAAATTAAAAGTATACAATATTTAGAACGATCAAAAAAATTTGGTGTTATTTTCTTTATATTTCGAAAAATGACCTTGACGAATGAATCACTTCTTTAACCTCAATATCGAATATCCAATGTATGTTCGTTGCTCCGCTAGAAAAACTTCTCAAGCAGCTCAAGGTTGCTGGATATCTTTGTCGCGAGAGAGAAGGCAATGGAAAATTCGTATTCCATTTGTTATTAGACACTAACAACTCATCTTGGTTTTTCAAGATCTAATGTTTACAACCTTCCAATATTTTTCTAAAAGATATATATTATGAAGAAATACAGAGGCACTCACGTTCCTAGAGTTTAAAAACGAACATAAAACTACTCGTTCGAGATAGATAAGCCTGACTTTAATTATTCTTCGCTTGGAAACGAAAATATTTACGATAGTTTTATTATCTTACGACTTAAAATCGATCGAAAATAGATTAAAGCGTTTTACTCGATTTATATTTTGCATTCGTCGTATATCCGGTTATTCGTTGGTAAAAAAAAGTCTATACTTTCGAAGATAATAATACAATTATGGATTTATTTATTAATTATTGTATTATTATTTATTATAAATATGATACAATCTGTTAATTGTTCATGACACATATATACGTCATTTTTGAAAGATAATTTTTTGGTAATGTGATAAATACATGTGTCATGCTGAAAAAAATGCAATTCCTGATGTAACTTTGAACCATATATGCAATTAACAAGTTAATTTATTATATTCATTTATATTATAATATTATTTATATTTATTTAATGTTTAATTTATTTTAATGTACCAGGGTAAATAATATAAATTAGTTTATATATCAAATATATCTGAATTATATGTATATTTTAGTATAATTATGATTACCTGTACTACGTAGCTAATTCTAAGCTAATTTGTCTAGGATCTGGTCCATCTTAGGCAGCTTTTATTTCGCAAGTACCTTGAGTCTGTCCATTAAAGCAGGTCAAGCGCATCGTTTTATACTATCGAGTTCCGAAACTTCGAACTAGCCTCGTGCTTATTAACTATTGTATATGAAGGTATTGTTTGAAGTAGGTATTGTACCATCGGTTAAAATAAATCGAGAAAAAGGGAAAATTAGTTTTCTTTAAAACACTGCATAAAATTTACCATAAGTTTTCTTACAAGGGCACGGCAATCAAGTGCAACCTCTGATTTTTTCAAATTTTACACACCCTATATCCTGTACCTCATTGTACCCTTTAAAAATTGATTGTGACCAACCATTTGCGAAAAAACGGAGCTAGAAATTTTACAAAAATTCTTATGTTTTTTAAGTTCAACCCATCATCAATCGGGCAATGTGTGAAATAAAAATTAAGCACGTCGTTTATTTCTATACTTAATGAGTTTCATAACTTTGAGAATAATATTCCTATTGCCATGGCTGTCGAGTTCAAACTAACATCGAAGACGCATATATAACAATGCATGTAAAAATAACATATTTTAAGATTAAAAAGTTGCAGTTCTTTTTGCACGCATGTATTGTTGAAGATATTCAAGAAAAAGTATTGTCTAAATAAAATCTAAATAAACATCCTTATCGTTCGAATTATTGCATTAAACCGAATGCTAACCGAAAGTAACCTGTTTGAGTTGCTGCATCAAATCAAGTGGTGACCGGAAGTAACCTCTCGAAGGCGAAGGGTTAATACGGTTATAACGAATCTAATTCGTGACCAGTCTAAAAGACAAAAAAGAAATTAGATTTGGAAAGTTGTCTCGAAGTCACGTTTCGCATTAATCATCGATCTCTTATGCAAAAAATATCTTCTGCTTCTACTTCTCCTTCCTTTTTTTATTTTACTTTCTTAGAACACGATTTAATAGATGTATTATTTACATTTAACGAGATGTGATTATGATCGAGACAATAAAAAAATAACTAGAAAAACCGATAAGATACGAGAACGATATCATCTTTGACGCACGTTCTTATCTTATATCGGATAATGAAAGAACAAGACGATTTCATCTTCCTTTTAGACACGTTATGAATAAGTGTGAGAGAGAGAGAGAGAGAGAGAGAGAGAGAGAGAGAGAAACGTGCTTCCGATTCGACAAGTATCATCGCTATGACGCACAAGATTTAATCTAACAGATTCTCTCTCATTCTCTTCTTCCCTTTCTCTCTCTCTCTCTCTCTCTCTCTCTCTCTCTCGTTCTTGCATAGATGTTTGGAGATATTCCGATAAATCGATAAATTCATCGAGCTTAATCGATCTTACGAAAGATTCCTTAAGCATAATACGATTTATGTCTTTTCAGTTTTGATTTCTGATATTGATAGCTTCTTTCAACTAAATATTTACTTTACCTACGTATGAGCATGAATATATACAGTAAGAGTCATAAATTCCTAGATGATTTTTACAATCAATTACGTACTCTCTTCTTCGTAATGTTAATAGAGCTTAATTTCTTTTTTTTCAGATTGCAAAAAGGTTTATTTTACAAGAGCGTATTCGTAAATTTGTGCTATCTGTGTGTTGGCCATTGAGAAAATTGCGAAGCGTAAAAATTTGAAAAAAAACATGTTTATTAATTTTTTTGTTTAATTATTATATAAATTATTATTTATATAATAATAATATATAGATATGTATTTTTCATATTCGATAAATTATTTAACGAGATATTTTTCCCCTCCTCCCTCCCCGTTATTTAAAATTTCCATAATGGAGAATGTGTTGAACGAGAGAAAGAAAAAGAAAGAAAGAGAGAGAGAGAGAGAGAGAGAGAGAGAGAGAGAAAGGGAGAAAGAAAAATAGATTTAAAAAAAAAAGCATCTCTCTTCGTGCAGACTCATGGTAAACTCCATGAAATACCACGACAAAATTAGCAGGCAACCAAAATAATTTAGCGGCCGACTCTTGAAAGCGCGTGACCCTGAATTTCTATCGTTCATTTATCCGACAACACTTTTTTCGATTTTTTTAAAATGTAATTAAATTACTTCTAATTACAACATATATACGTATCGATTATCAAATCGATCGATTGAACAAATATAGAATTTTCAAACAGATAAACTAAAACTATACAACAAGTGGAAACTTGTTGCTAGAACAAAACCAAAATTATTGTAATTGTAAGTAATTTTAATCTACGTAAAATAATAAAAATAAAAATAATAATAATAATAATAATCTCACATCTGTTAGTACAATTAAGTACTATAATTACACATTCAATACTCTAATAAGTATAATAACGCATATGTAATTGAATTAATTAATTATAATCGTAATTACGTAATCAATGTAATAATTAATTTTCCGACATAGAGAAGTATACATATATATAAAAATACAGATTTTTAAAAAGTTAAAAATATTTAATAACACGACTTTAATGTTCCATGAAATTATAGTAAAAAATTAACATAATTATAACTTTTTTAGTTGCTCTATTCTGAAAAGGGTGAAAGGGCAAAAGAGGGAAAATTTCCACGGTCCCTGACGTGCGCCACTTTTCTCTCACTCTCTTTCTCTCTCTCTCTCTCTCTCTCTCTCTCTCTCTCTCTCTATCTATCTATCCATCTATCTATCTATTCCGTCCTGTCCTTCTCCTGTCCTCCTCCACCCACCCTCTTTACCACCCCCCTTGTTCGGGTCACGTCGCGTGCGCAACGCCAGAGTTCGACGATCAGTCGGCGCGAGACGCTCAAAGCGCTAAGATCGCATTCCGCGATCGAGATCGCGATCTCGATCTTTCATTCTTTTTACTTTATTTCGTGAGAGTTCACCGACTTTTTATAGGATTTTTGTGTGTCTCTAACACTAGTATTATACGATCTCATTGGACAAAAAGAATAATATAAACAGAGAGACATACATACAAAAAGAGATAAAAAGAAACAAAGCTACGTTAAAATCACGGCTGATAAATTTAAGTTTAAAACTCGTGAAATGGTGATAGGTGAGTCCAATTTATTTTCATTTAATTATGTTTGTCTTCTTTTTTTTTATCTAATTCGAAAGAACAAAAAAAAATTATAAAATATTGTCAATCTCTTTTAAATAAAAAAAAATTAGTGATTTCAATGTACCATCGATTTGTTTGTATATTTATTTTAAATTAATTCACTTATATTGATTTCATCAAATTTCTCTTTGTTTTATATTATTTTATTTTATTTTTTAAATTTAATTTATAAAATAATTATAAAATAATAAAAAAATATAAATAAAAATATTATTTAACGTAATGGCAAAATGATGGAAATCGCAGTGACGATAGAAATGAAAAATGATCTTTAACTAATGTAAGACGATCAATTGCCAATGTCGATAAGAACAATACGATGAATGTATGTATATGTATGGATCTTAAAGTCTATACGAGGCCAAGGTTCCGATCGAATCTCTTCTCTCTGTCTCTGTCTCTCTTTCTGAACTGCAACTATGAGATACTATTTCTAAAAGACTCTACGTCTATCACATTCTAATGATCAATCTTAAAGCGAACAACCAACAATTAGCGATGACTTATCAATTGATTTATCTCGATCAAAGTCACTCGAAATTTAAATCAAAGAACGTTAAAAACATGTGATACATATGTTTCATCTTGTTTTATTGATACTTTGCAAGTTTTACTAATAAAGTACAAGTATTTAAATATATATTCGTGTGTGTGTATGTGTGTAGTACCGAATATACAATATCGAAATTTCTGCCAAGCCGTAAATAATGAAAATGATCCCAAACATATGTACGTCTCTTTGATCACACTCACATATTTCTATAGTAAACGTTCTTTGTTCTTTCAAGTTTAATCGCATTAAAAATCGAATCACTCTCGTATCTTTCCTTTTCATCTATTTAAAATGTCTACAATTTATACATAATTATTAAAAGATTTTTAAAAAAATTTTTTCTTACTTAATTTCAATAGAATTAAATTGGTTTATTTTAAACATTTTAATTTTGTTACTATCCTTCAATTAAGAATATTCTTAATTAATATAAAATAACTAAACAATTACAAATAATGTAATTTAATAATTTAAATAAAAATATATTTTTTTGTTTACGTGTCAATTTTTAGAAATAAATTTTCAATTTATATAGATTATGTTCAAACATTATATGTTACTATTCATTCACACATTTTTGTTATATAATTTGCATACGTACGTGATATAAATTCATTTATATTTATGAAAGTGATTAAGAAGAAGAGTAAATCATAGTTGACAGATGAATGATACCATTCATTGATCAAGAATCGAAATTTGGAGAAAGGCAGAATCGTTTTGACATGCGCCATTTATACGCAGATAAATGTACATATACATATATATATATATATATATATATATGTATATATATGTATGTATATCTGTATAATATATGTAGGATAGTCTGACATATGTATGGTGTGATCACGTCAGAGTTATCTTAAATTAATGAGCGCCTACTTGGCTTAGGGGAAAGAGAACATTGTTCCTTTAATCGTACTTATTCTATTTTCTACCTACTTTCCATTTAACGGGAAACATATTTATTTATATTTATATACAATACGATTTTATATTGATTTAAATATGTTATTAGGAAAAGGAATATTTATATTTTAGTTTAATATTTATCATCTTAAATTTGGAGATATTTTTTTATTTAAATTTAAAGTTTCCTAGAAAGATCTCATTTACAATGTTTCTTAGAAAAATAAACTAAATTATTACGATTAGTTCTTGTCATTGTTTCACGAGCTGAAAATAATTTGTATTTAAATAAAAAATAGACCCGTTCAGAAATATTCGAATAGAGGGTTAAATATTATTTTCTATTATATACTATTTATATATAAATGTATTTTAATATTGTTATTATATAATATAATTATTTTAATATAATATTATAAATTAAAATTTATATAAAAATTTTAATATATTTAACATTTTAATTATGTTATTAGAAAAGAAAATAATTTATTTATATATTTAATATTTAAGTATTTATAATAAATCAATCAAATATAAATATATCTCGTTTTAAATAAAGAAAGATCCAAAATTTTCAATCAAATCTAATTCTATTTTATTTTTTATTTTTGTTTAGGATCTCTGCCTAACATATCACTGACCATGCCGTCGGGAAGGAAAATCCCACGAGTCTGCAGGTAAGAAAAACTTTTCTTTCAATATTTTATTCGATTATATAAGAGATCTAATATATGTGT